ATAAAACTATGCGATTCATGCATCTAGTCATGTTTCTCAAAAAGAGTAGAGAAATGGCACTTGCAATGTTAGATTCTAGTAACTTTCCTCACAATAGACTAAGCTAATTGGTCACTAACTTAAGCGTTAAAGTTAACTCAAACTTTTCCTTTAAAACTTGCTATATTAGGAACTTTCCACGACCGGCCTTTACCCGACATAATTAAATATGGGCTGCATAGGTAAAAAACGGTCATATTTTTAAATGCAATAAAACTACGGTAAACTTTTCAATAGACTTGTTCAACTAAAGGCATAATGTAATGTTCCACTTTAGTAAATAAAGACTTAAAAAAACACTACCCCATCTGTGTAGTTACCGATTACCTGACATTCTACGCTTAAAATAACCCATCTATTCCCCATAATTGTTCGATATAACTTACCTCTCACCCGCTGGTCGAGTACACAGCAGTATATATCCTCCTCCATCACTCACCGCGTGGATACTATTTCACTCTGGCCGCAAATTGCCTCAAATCACCTACGTTGTCCATAAACATATATAGAAGAGCAACTGACCCTAACACCCGTATAGCGATCATCACATAACGTGGGAACATTAGTAGTACTCCTGTCAAAACATAGATGGCGCCAGGACAAACGGTAATTCCTATGGACTCGCCTAGTTATGCGTAGGGAATTGAGCTTCAGCTGTTTGGTCCCGCCCCTCAGCTGTATTCACCTAATTTGTGCTTGCAGGGGTTGAGCTTTGGTTCTTTGGTCCCGACTCTCAACCGTCAATCAACAGGTGTACAGGTTCCTGAGCCTATTGGGCTCTATCACATCTACATTTGAAATTGTGTATGGAGTCAGCCTTCACCACATCACTGCTTAATACATTCCATTTGTTAACTACTCTGACACTGAAAAAAATTCTTTCTAATATCTCTGTGGCTCATTTGGGTACTAAGTTTCCCTTGTTCGTGTTCCACCCGTGTTAAAGAGCTGTCTTTGTAACTATCAAAATGCATATATCTTTGTTTTCACTTCAGTTATATTTATGACAAGGGATTTAAAATTTGCCTATATTTCTGCTTCTCTGATGACATTAAAAACTTTCGTTTATTACAGTATCTACATGAAATTAACATTTATCTTCATTAGGTTGTAGTTCTCACCAATAGGGAGAGCGTCGGTAAAAAAAAAAAATTGTTTAAATATAAATATCTTTCCTCTCAATAATATGCCCGAAACGCTATGCGTACTAGTGGCTTTAGGTATTGTATGTACTAGCTCTATCTATAAATCCAATATTATGTTTGTAAATCGACTATTTATGTACTTTCCTGAATAAAATGAACTTTACTAATATCTAATCTCTGTGACTAAAACGTAAGAACGACTTTATCTATGCCTTTTTGATAACATATACAATTATAAGCTTTATTAGTGAATCTCTATTAATTAAACAATATATCAGAGAGTGTGTAAGGTTCGGTGTTCCATGTGCGAAGAGACATGGGAGATTTTACATCAGTACAGTAAATGTTTTAAGTAGCGAACGCATACTAACGAATAACGATTAGTATAGACCAACACTATTGTTCTATGAAGTCGATTTAACTTCCAGACATGTATTTTTCAATAAGTCTTAAATATTTTCTGGCTAGTTATGTTAGATATTATTAGAAATACGTATTCTACTTGTTAATATAATAAACTAAATTTACGATCATTTAAGGACAGAAGTGCGACGACTGGATCACTGTGTACAGAAGGTTGATATGCCAACAAACACTTTCCAGACAACAATATATCTTGGATAAGTCGCTCCACAACATTGACACCTGGACCGTTGACTTCCTATGAGGCCACATATTCAGATGTTTATTCAGATTCAGATGTTTATTCAGGTAAGGTATATACATACAAGTGATGTTACATTAATGGATTGATATATAGATAGAGCTAGTACATACAATGCCTAAAGCCACTATTACGCAATGCGTTTCGGGCAAGAAAAACATTAATATCTAGAACTTAATACTAATTGAGCATAAAGAATAAAAGGTGTTGAGAACAAATACAAATAAAGATAAAAAAAAGGGGGAACATGACTGAAAAAGCAGCACAAATACAATAGGTTGACAAACAGTGTTGATTAAAAAAAAAAAAAAAGAAAATAACAGACATGGGTTGACAATAGAGGAGTGAGGTAGATTACAGGGAATTTATTAGGTAGTGTTTAGTTTTTATCTTAAACTGGTTGAGAGAGGTACAGTCTTTAACATGGTTGGGAAGGTCATTCCACATTCTGGGCCCCTTGATTTGCAGAGCATTTCTAGTTTGATTAAGACGTACTCTAGGAATATCAAAACTGTATTTATTTCTGGTGTGGTGCTCATGGGTTCTGTTACAACCTTCTATGAAGCTTTTAAGATCAGGATTGGCATTATAGTTTAGCGTTTTATATATGTATAATACACATGAGAGAATGTGCAGTGACTTAATATCTAACATATTAAGAGATTTGAGTAGGGGTACCGAGTGATGTCTGGGGCCAGAGTTGGATATTGTTCTAATAGCGGCTTTGTGTTGGGTAATTAGAGGACGTAAGTGATTTTGGGTAGTAGAACCCCAAGCACAAATACCATAGTTGAGATAAGGATAGATAAGGGAGTAATAGAGAGTCACCAGGGCAGGGCGTGGTACATAATATCTGATCTTAGAAAGAATGCCCACAGTTTTTGAAACTTTTTTTGATATATTTAGAATGTGTCCCTGGAAATTCAGCTTGTGGTCAATGAGAATGCCAAGGAATTTGCCATCTAATTTGTTACAAATTTGGGTATTGTTTATTTTGAGATTTATAAGACTAGAGGATTTATTGCCAAACAGAATATAGAAGGTTTTGTCAATGTTAAGGGTTCGGTAAGGGTACTTATTTCATAATGGAAGTATATTATTTTATAGTAAATATATGTTTTCTCGTGTTCTGCATTAAGCACCAACATTATAGTGAATAAATATACCATATTTCTTCATTATTTAAGTAATGCTAGGAGGCTTTGAGTAAGTAAGTAAGTAATTATCAAAAGAAGGCACCAAACCGGGAAGGCTATGTGGAGGCTTTGAGTAGCTTTGGGTCATTAGGTGAACAGAATCTCCAATAGATGGGGCGAGAGTCGAAACTTATTTTAGAATTGATATATCTTTGTCCTCCAACAAGATATATTTCCTTTGGTGCACTCACAATAACGAGCATATCTCTGTCTTTCTGAAGGCATATAATATTTTAGGCTTTATAAGCGTATCTTTGTTAATTACACACTATATTGGCAAGTGCGTAGGCTTCTGCATTCCATGACCGACAAGCTACTGAATGCCACTATAAAAACGTATGTATCTTCGCTTGAGCTTTATATATGTCTATGTTAAAGTATTTAAAATGAAGCTTATATTTCTATCTTTCTTGAGACATATAAAACATATGTGTTTATTAATGAATTTACGTGAAATAAGCATTGTTCTGAGAGAGTTGCTCTGTTGATCAGTCTGTGCGGGGTCGGAGCTCGGCGATTATTAAAACACATGTATCTTCATTAGAACTTTATATATATCTATGGTAAAGTATTTAAAATGAAGCTTATATTTCTATCTTTCTCAACACATATAAAAACATTTGCGTTTATTAACGAATTTACGTGAAATAAGCATTGTTCTGAGAGTGTTACTCCGTTGCTCGATCTGTGCGGGATCGGAGTCGCCGATTACAAAAATACACGTATCTTCGCTTTAAATACAAATATGCCCATGGTAAGGCATTTAAAATGAAGATTATGTTTCTATCTTTCTTGAGACGTATAAAAATCTTACGTTTATTAACGATTCTGCGTGAAATAAGCATTGTTCTGAGATGAATATTGCGGATTTCCGGCTCTACGACCCATGAAAAATGCAACTTTTATACAACTACAAATATCTTTAGTTTTACTTTAAATTTTGTCCTGAAAGAGTTTTCATATATAGATCCAGTTTCTGCCGTTCTTCTGACATAAAAAGACCTTTGGTTTAATAAGTTATTAAGATGTTTTCAACAATATTACTAGGGCGTTCACCGATTCTAACATGGGCGACCCTTTAGGAAACGCAACACATGGGTTGACCTGATTGATATATGGGTCAGATTCCATTAAGGTTCGGAACAGATACACTAGAGGGGTCGAGAAGAGACTGACTGACCCGTAAGATATATCTCCGAACATGCCATGACAGGTTTCTCACAGAACATACTATAGCAGCTACATAGCACCATTAGCAAATAGTGTGCTATGTCTGTACACTGCACTAATGATAATCGGTGATAGACTGGGTAGGTGTCCAGGAACGGACGGAGTTAACATTAAAAGCCTGTTACAAATTGCTAACAAAATATATAAAAAATCAATTCATAATGGTTATGTCCAGCTTGTAATGTTTTAGAATATAGTAAGGGAGAAAAGATCAGCTGAACCAACATGTGAATACAAGATTAATCGTAGTGGTTGCTGTAGCACTCCTGTGGTACTTTTTTCAAAGATGCCTACTCTACCTGCCCATGTTGAGCATTTGCCCAACAGCAATTAATGTGAAAAATTGGGCGAAGCTAGCCCTGAACATCTGGGCTCTAACCTCAGACTATTTTCTCCCCCTCCATCCTAGTTATTGCTGTTCATTTACAATCCAAGGGAGCACTGGAAGTTGACAGACAACCTCGTCACATTGATGCATTTGAATTATTTAGCTTTCTAATACATCGGATGTTGGCCGCATGTCCGGCGTTTCATGCAAGATTGGAATATGTTTGCATTTGTGTAGTTCCAAGGGACACTGTTCGCATGTCTGGTATTCCATAATGTGGAGGATGTTTGGTTTTTTGTTCCAATTATTTTTTAAGTTTGCTGCGGGTAGTGATCTCGCTTACCAAAGACTACACCATCAGAACTGTCACACGGAACAAACCGGGAAGAAAACAATTATAAATACCATTTTTATTTAAATGTGAATACAAGCTTTATTACCATCATTGACGTACCGTAATAAGTCGATTAAAAAAAAGTTCCGTTACAATAATTTGTTGGAGACACCGACTCCAAGGTGGTCTAGGGACTATAGTTGCTTTACTACTAAATTTAAGACTAAATATTCATTTTAATGCAAACTGATCAAATCGCATTTTAAGTTTAATTCTAGGCATATATATATGCCTAGAATTAAAAACACACATTCATACATGCACACAAAAATCCTGAAAAAATATTTCCTATTATATTCTTTATTGGAAAGAGTAAGTTTAGTAAATAATATATTCCAGCTCTTGCATCCGAAACATTCAAATTGGTACAGTTACCGCACTCCTAATTACATATCAATGCAGCGACCATCACTTGGTCGTTACTCAGCATCACGTGGCACTTACCGGTAGGGTCTGCAGTGCCATGTGTGACCTTCATTGTCCTCAGAATATGGTATTAAAAAGACAATATCCTGCTGATTCCTGGTCACTTGAACACTTGAGTAAGTAAGTAATTATCAAAAGAATTGAACACTTTAGACAAACTTTTAATCGGCTGGAAGTTACAAATGTGATCCGAGGATGCTCCTCAGTGCCACAGAGGTTACCCTCTGACCTGAGAAATCTGTGACAGTGTATCCTGAGAGATACTATCAATAAATGATACGTATTTGATCTGTAATTTGGTCTTGGTTCTAGCAGGCAAGGCATCCGTGAGACTTCAGTGGGTGGATGCTTGTACATTCCGTCAGCATGAAGTCCGTGAGAACTGGCTTCCTACAGAACCGGCTTGTCATTGTGGCTCTGGAGGCTCCCTCTCACGGCTTCAACGCCCTCACCAATAATCTCCAACTGAGAAATATCGTAGTCGACGACGCCCTCAGATACCCGACTGTGCACATCTTCCTCATCAGCGCCAGGCAGCAGCCCGAACAGTTCCTTGTCCACGTGCCAGTTGTGTTGTCTGAGGGAATAAGAGATGTAAGTGTTTGTTTCTCTAAGTGCACATCTTTTGCTATCAGCAGTTACCGAGGCGTCTTGGGAAGAAATGTGACCGGGTCTTTAGGGATAGGGGTTTAACGAGTGGAATGGAATGAATTGTGGGGAGGCTTTGAAGATGAGGTAAATTGAGATTGATGAAGTAAGGTCATGTTGGTAGCTGGAAGACTGATGGAGCAGCCATGATTAGTGTGGTGAGGTTGATAGTGAAGTTACTGTAACTGTTGGGTTAGTGGAACTGCTGCAGTTGTCTTTCTTAGTATAATATAGTTGCGTATATTAGTTTATTGTAGTTATTGAAACTGTTGGAGTGTCCATGGTAGTAACGGCAAGCGGAAAGTGTTTAATCAGAAGAGATACTTTATCCGAGGATGTAGGTCATCGGTTTCGTCGGTGTTGGCAGGAGAGCACTATGGGATGGAACATTGCTTATGCAGTACTATAGTCTGCAGCAGTAATATAGCTACCAGCAGTCCGATTGTAATGTGATACAATTAGATGGTGAGGAATTAATAACTCGTGGGATTCGCCTTTCTATGGGTTTAGTAAAAAGAAGTAATCATCCTCTTACTTGATATTGTATAAATAGAACAAAACTTGCCAAATCGAGAATTTGACGTAATTTACTAAACAATCCAATCTAGCAAGGTTCCGAACTGAGGTATGCGAGCGTTCCAGTCCCTTCCTCTCACCCCACTGTGGTCTAGGCGATGTAAACACCTTACAAAGCTAATGTGTAGTTTTATCTAGTGGTGGACCATGTTGTAATAAGAGCTGGGTAGAAATGTTGCTTGTGTTGGTGTAACGGTACCCAGCCCAACGGTACCCAAAAAATAGTTTTTTGATCCACCAAAGTTTTAACACGAACCACTTTAATGGCGCACACGAATGATTACTGGTGACGTACGGGTTATCTTGAGATGATTTCGGGGCTTTTGTGTCCCCGCGGCCCGGTCCTCGACCAGGCCTCCACCCCCAGGAAGCAGCCCGTGACAGCTGACTAACACCCAGGTACCTATTTTACTGCTAGGTAACAGGGGGCATAGGGTGAAAGAAACTCTGCCCATAGTTTCTCGCCGGCGCCCGGGACCACAGGATCACAAGTCCAACGTGCTGTCCGCTCAGCCGACCGGCTCCCGTGGTACCGCAAACCGCGGGCCGCAAACTTGACACACGAGATGGAATTTCTCACAAACTGAAATCCTTACAGCATCGACTTCGAAAATTTTCAACACAAATAGAAAATCTAATTCTTATAAATTCGAGTTTTAATTCCGGTACTCCTTACCGATGACACCCGAAACGCCACACTGACCCGCAAGCTGAACTTGGCTGAGTGCCAAACTAAATTTCCTAAATAATTAATAAAGCTAACATATGCACTGGTCACTGAAGGTGACTGAATTCTTATTCAAAAATGATGATAATTACATAAATAATTGATCTGGTTCAAGTACCCAATACAACATTGAGTATTAACAAATTTCTATAATGTAATGAATTACAACAATCATGGAGCAAGGCAAGTTTACAACCGCAATTAAGAACATGAGAACAAAGGTAACTGCAGAAGGCCTATTGGCCCATACGAGGCAGCTCCTATCTAAGCTGGGTGCACATCCTGCCTCACACCCAGAATAAACTAGTTCTCGTTCCAGGTGACCTCTATGCCCCTTTGTCAACTTAAGGAACACACTCTAATCTCAAAAGACGTTAAATTGCATAGGTCCTCAAGGCAAGGTTGATTACTTACTACAATACTGAGTAATATCATGAATTATTCTAATTTAAAGAATCGAACCCAAGGTGTGGCTGTGGCCATCTTGTCTAAAAGCTTCCACCACTAATCCCTTGACCCTTGGGAGTGACCCTTCCCAAGCCTTCCAGGTAGAAAGCTACACTGACTCCAGAACTAGATTAACCCTATATACAATACACTACAAGATATATAATCGTCTTATAAATAGGTGAATTGTTACATTGACAGGAGAGCATTATGGTTATCTACTATCAACTTTTTTCCCCTAAACATTAAAACACGAAAATTGTGTTGACGTTTGTTAAAAATCTAGTGCCCGAAACGCTTTGCATGAATATCATTTAATCACGAATATATGTACTTTATAATATATATACATATACTATGAAAGTATAATAAAATAAATACCCCGAGCGTCGGCAGGACTCCTGGCTGACGGCGGAGAGGGCTGTGTGCTTCACGTCAGCGTTTTCCAGTAGACGCTGGACCTGTTGAATTATATGCCCATTTAATGTAAGTGCAGCTGCAAGTTTGTTTACATACTAAAAATTAAATTTTAACATGTGAGAGGATTTGTTAACCCAATTAATACAGTAAAACAGCAGGTGTGTACAGGAGGTATAGGTGAGGACTGACCCTAGTGAGGAACAGGTGGTCGAGGGTGGGGGTGTGGGAGAGTATGGTGGCTGACCGGCGGTGCAGGAGGCCGGCGCGGTCACACTCGAACACAGCCATGTATTTGTCGTAGTCGGTGTCGAAGACGGTGAAGTCAGCTTTGCCCGTCAGTGCTGTTGATGCACAAGATATGAGTAGAGTTGCAGGCTAAGTTGATCACGAAAATATATATATACTTTGCAGAAATGGTACTCTAAACTAATTAAAAGGCAGGCCGTCCTTCAAGAGGATAGCACTTGGCAATAGCGACTTCATACATGTATGAACTCTGGACATCACATCAAGTCCTGATTTTGCACGACTGAAAGAGATACATATACAGGAACAAAGGCACCGGTAAACAAAGGCATAAACTCAAAATTACAGGTAAGTAGGTTTTCTTTATAAAAAAAAATGTACAACCATAGTTAACCACACATTAACCACTTGTCAACCACACAAATGTGGTTGACAAATGGAATGCATTAGGAAGTGATGTGGTGGAGGCTGACTCCATACACAGTTTCAAGTGTAGATATGATAGAGCCCAATAGGCTCAGGAACCTGTACACCTGATGATTGCCGGTTGAGAGGCGGGACCAAAGAGCCAGAGCTCAACCCCCACAAGCACAACTAGGTGGGTGAGTACATTTGTTATTTACTGCGTACAGGCGAACTACATTCTGGACGAAGGCTGTCAATTTCGACTGAGAAGCAGTGTTTTACCCAGCCGGATGCGTGTTGACGGTGGCAGGTCTTATTTATCCCCAGAGACCAAACTTGATATACCAGTATATAACCAACTATATAACTAAACCCACTACTTCTACCACTAATCCACGACACCCGAGCCTACCTTAAGCTGCGAGACCAAAGACAAAACCACCAACTACAGATGGTACCGACTCTTCAGACGAGGAAATCTTAGGAGCTCCACCGCTGCAGCACAAATACGACACCTACTCGAGAGAGAAAGATTAAGCCACCCAAAAGGTGGCATGGGCATGAATAGCCCATAAGTGGTGGCCCTTTTGAGCCATTTCCAGTATCAATAGATGATACTGGAGATCTGTGGAGGTGCGACTGCACCCTGCGTGACGAGAGATGTCTCCCGTCACACCTACTCGGTACAAGACCTCCTCATAGAGGCCACCTCACCAAACTCCAACGACAGCACGGTCATGTCAACCCGCAGCAAGTCTCGGCCAAAGAAAAAACGGAAGACCTAGAGGTCTTCACTAACTCACCAGCTCCATAACTGGTACAGCCAGCCCTCCGAGGCTGAAATCCACCATGAAGACCCCCATCCATCCACAGATCTATAGTATCAGCTATTTGTACTGGTAATGGCTCAAAAGAGCCTCCACTAAGGGGCTACTCATGCCTATGCCACCTTTAGGGTGACATTCTTTATCAATTAATCAATTTAAACCCACCCCGCAGTTACAGCCCCCGCTCTTGTGCCAGGCAAGTCCACTACGGGCTCACCATAGCCTGTGCTACTTTGAACTTTTTGTTCGTAGTAGCTAAATCTAAAAACAACAAACCCACTCACCCACCCACAGAAACACTAACATATTACACGACTAAAGATCACATTCACTCCCAAAAAAATCTACCACACATATATTCATGGTCGTGCCACTTCTGGTGGCTCAATCTTCATCAATCAACCCCATCCAGACACGACGCTAACCGGCGGTTGAGCCTTAGTATATTGACAGCTTGTTTTCCCTCTGCCCTGTAAGCTGGCAACCAAGGGCGGATACAACTCGAATAATCAACCCTTTTATGTGTGAGTTTTCCCGCGTTAGACCTTCGGGTGCAAAAAGTGCGCCGTAGTGTGACTTCCGCAAATGGTGCTCGTCGACAGTAATATTGGGTGTGGTTCTCTTAATTTCTGAGAATCTAGTAGCGTGGTAGCTCGATTCCTGCGATAAGAGGTGGGGGGGGGGGGGGGGGAGGAGGAGACGGTCATTTGGGCCTAATAGTCAAGAGGACGGTTTAAATTCATACTTACAGGTGGGCCAGCGTACCCTCATTTTGCCCGGTACCTCCGGGTTGGGTATGTCGACCAGGGCGGTGACAGCCTGGGTATGGTTGACTCCCAGCATGTCCAGTAGAGCCAGCTGCCTTGTCTCTGTCACCAGCAGCGTGTCGGGCACCTCTCCACGGGTGATGTTCCATACCAAACAGGTGTTGTCCGTGTCGAATTTGTACGTCACGTACCACATCCCCAACACCTGTTAGAATGTATGTACATAAAACATGAATTAAGAAATGTTACTTGGGCAGAGAGTAGTGGGGGTAACGATCTTAGGTTTCCCTTTCCCTTACTCCCATAGGTGTGACTATTTCCCACCTCACTAGGTTTAACTAACTGTATGCATTAGTTACCATGCATGTGTGCATGCCTGTGGTGTGCGCTTGTGCTCGTCTATTTGAAAAATTGAGAGGAATTGAAAATCAGATCTATTTTTGAAGACATTAATAAAGTTTGCTTCTGCAACCTGTTTTTTTATTTCACTCCATTTTTCTACTATTTTCACCCTAAAACATTAAGATCTCCGTGGCTTGTTTATTTCTAGTTTCCACCTATAAAACGCTTTTCAACATTAGCGCTTTTCCTATGTGAATCCTCTGAGTATCATGTCTCCTCCCTCCTCCCCCCCTCTCTCCAAACTATTTTCTAGTGACGTTAGGTCCAGCTTGTCCAGGCTTCTTCATATCCATTCCCTTGCGATTCTGGGATGAGCCTCGTTGTAAACCTCTGTACCATTTAAAGTTTAATTGTATGCATGTTTATGTTCTAACTGCGCGAGAGAACGCCATGCAACAAAACGAGCTTCCCTGGAGAGAGTAACACCCGGATTTCAGATGACATCCTTGAGTTGTAGAAAGTAGAACAGTGCAAACTGGAATTAACAGGTCCATTGTTTATCACAATGAAATGTGTGAAGTAAAACATGTGTATGGGGCAAGTAACAATGTCGGTAGACTAACAGATGTTGTCACAGCTCGTATAAGACTTGGCTACAAGCATCTCTGGTAGTTCGGCTTGTATAGGGATCTAGATGAAGTGAAGTGTGTGGACAAAGAGACACACACACTAACACTATATCTTGGATTGAAGTAAAATTGAGCCATTTAGAGATAAATCTAAGCTCACGCTGTATATGGCAACCTATCTTATTACCATGAATAAAATACCTGAAATCCTTGCACTGTATCCATATTTCGCTTCCAGTAGATAAACGACATATGAGATTAAGAAACAAGTAGTGTATTGTGAAGACTAATAATAAACAGAAGCTCCCCTAGGACTAATATCTCCATTGGTCAAACTATTAGGTATTAGCGATAAGACTTACCATTAATATATAATGACTTACTGTAAATATATGGCTCTTGAAATGGAACATTCTCTAACTAGCTGACATGTAACTATAAGGTGTGAAGGATAGATGAAACTGTTTATGTAATAATCTAAGATGAGGTCTGATAAAGACCTTTGTGCCCTCTGTAATGATTTTTGCGCTACCGCTCACAGGATGAGTATGGGGTGCACAATAAACTAGCCGCCTCCGGCGGCAACACTCAAAATCAATCAATCCTTTGATATAAACCTCTTTACTTAATTTAGAAAATACTGTTTCTAAGCATCTTACATGAGGGCTGTCTTTGTATGAAGTCCTAAGAGTGTCCTATGAAGTCCTTTCTGATTAGAAAAATACTGTTTTTAAAATAATTCAGTATGGTGTGTAATGTGATTTGCTTAAAAAATTCTTTACGAGTTTATTATATGTATACAACTAGAAAGCAATGAACTTAAGCCAAAAGGTATAAATTATATTCCAAAGCATCAAGGATGGTTGTGAAGTACATACCTTGTCGATGGAGAGATTAGGGAAGGGTGCTACCTCCGGGCAGGTCCGGCCCAGGTGGAGGGTGTGAGCTCTGCTGACCCCCACCACCGCCGCCCACACCAACCTGTCTCACACACATTTGTTATTTACTGTATTAGTCACACTAATTGTTAGAGAAGATGAAACAAACACGCAGGCAGACAGACAGACACCTGTGGACTGGATTATCAGGTACAGGGCAGCATACGAAGCAGAAACACGAGTCTCGCCATGAAGGTCAATAAAGAATAATATTGACAAGGCTGCGATAGCATGTCAAGACAATGATTGGGTGGATGCCGATAGGAATTGCTATAGGTAACAAAGGACCACGATTACACGCGCACATGCTTCGCAGATATCAGAAAACTTTTGTGTAAACAAATTTAAATAAAGGGAATTAGAAACTTTCCACATTAAAGATTGAGAAGGCTTAATTTACATTTTCTAGGAAAGTGAAATTGAATACAAATAGAATAGAGAATAATAATGACCCGAAATAGATAACAAGGATCCGAAGAACCTTATAGGTAGCAAGAGCTTGTTACAAAATGATTAAGAATGGGAAAGTCAGTTTAGAACAAGAATTCGTCCAACTGGTTAGAAATGTTAAAAAATAAAATAAATGAAAAAAGATGAGGGCAAAAAGAAACTATGAAGTTGCATAGCAGGGCAAGCAAAGTTCAATCCTAAAGGCTTTTTCAGTTATATCTAACAAAGATCAGGGAAAGGATAGGTCCGTTAAAAACCGAGTCAGGTCAGATAACTGATAATGAAGAGATAAGTAGTATTTTTAATGAACATTTTATCTGTATATATTCCTAAAGAGGAATTTAACATTATGCCTTCAGCCGAATAAGTCTATGTTGGTGTGGGAAGAGAGGAGAGGTTGATTAGTTTAGCAGTTACCAGGGAGGATGTTATTAAACAAATAGTGAAACTCAAGTCAATAAATCCTCCAGGGCTGGATGAAGTGTTTGCCAAGGTGCTTACAGAATGCAAAGAGGAGCTTTGCGAGCCGTTGTCTACCATATTAATAAATCAGAGTCAGGCAGAGCACCAGAGTTGTGGAAGGTTGCTAATGTGGTACCAATTTTCTAGAAAGGAGATAGATCACTTTAAACTATCGGCCAATTAGCTTAACGTCTATTGTGGGAAAGTTGCTGGAATCGATAATTGCAAATATCATTCGTCTTTATCTTTAAAACAGATTAATAAACGATTCACAACTTGGTTTTACTAATGGCCGATCATGTTTAACAAATTTGCAATAACAAAGCTACGAGGATAGTAGACGTGATAAATATACCAAAGCTATAATATATTAGGAAAAAAAGAGACGATACATAAACAGTAACAGGAATCGACAAAATTGACAGGAACTCGAATCCTGCAGCTTCAAGAACAAGACGTGATAAATATACCAAAGCTATAATATATTAGGAAAAAAAGAGACGATACATAAACAGTAACAGGAATCGACAAAATTGACAGGAACTCTAATCCTGCAGCTTCAAGAACAAGAGGTCAGAGTCAAGCAAAAGAAACAAAAGTGCCGACAAAAATATTTGAAAGCCTTCTTTTGCAAACGGTGATAAACGATTGGGACAAGTGTGGTAGTGGTGGAGGCTAAAACAGTTCTTTCAAGGCGTCATATGAAAGCAACCTGTCCTCGGGCCATGTTTGTTAAAGTAGCGCCCCCGTCCTCCCCAGACGCATTCACCATTTTTAACACTATATTAAAAATTGGTTTGTTTTCAAACAAATGAATATTATACGTTAAAAATCTATGTATAGTTAGGCGTAGGTTAGGTTGTGTGTTTACATTCTGTTTAGGCGATTATTTGTATTTGAAGTACGTGGGTGAAGCATTTATAACAACCCGTCCTCAGTCTGAGGACGGTCAGTCGACCCCATCCAGCGGTCGACCCCAAAGGCGCATTCATAAATTTTAATTTGCTGTTCATTCAAGACGGGAATTTTCTCAAATATAAATTATTTTATATTACCATATTTTACATATTTAGGCACTGGTTAGGTTAGGTGTTTAGGTTCTGTTGGCGATTATTTGTAGCTGTAGTACGTGGGTGAAGCGTTGAAACCCGTCCTGGGACTGAGTTCATTACATCCAGCGGTCGATCCCCACAGACGCATTCATAAACTTTTATATGCTGTTCATTCAAAAACGGGAATGTTCTCAAATATAAATTATTATAATATATTAACATACTGTGCATATATAGGCATAGGTTAGGTTAGCTATTTAGGTTCTGTTGGCGTTTGTTTATGTGTAGTACGTGGATGAAGCATTTACAGCGTTGTGGTTTGAACAAAAGTTGTCAGTAAAGCACTTGTTCCGGAAGTGTTCGAACGAAATCAGTTGCGAGTCGTGTGTAAACCGTTTTTCATTCATAAACAGGGGGTTTTGTGGATGTGTTAACGAGCATTTGGCCTTTGTTCATAAGGATGGGCTGATGAAAGAGTACTGGGAAGACGGAACACCATGAGCATCGCTCATTCTGTAACGATATGCGTAATTAAACGAGTGCACACCGGCCCAGTGGACAGCGTTCGAGATTCGCAGTCCTTGGACCTGGGTTTCCAGGCTAAGACAAACAAGTGGGCAGTTTCTCTCACCTCTGTTTACCTAGCAGTAATTAGGTACCTGGGAGTTGGACAGCTGATACGGGCTGCATCCTGGGAATGTTTGTGTGTGAGGGAAAAGTAGTAGGTATGATTGAGAAAATAAGCAGTCAGTACACAGACAGCTGACAGTTAGAAAGGCGGGGTCCAAGAGCTAACAGCTTGATTCTACAGGCACAAATAGTAAACACAAACACACACCACAGAAACATAGACAAAATCCCATAAAAACAAAACACGCTCACACAAAAAAAAGCCATCAACTAACATCATACAAAAGAAGCCATAGCTGGAAGACAGCAGCATTATCATGGTGTTGTCTATGATCAAATGAAATATCAGAATTAACTTACAAAATCTTCATCATTTTGCTAGATGAGGTATATCCTTTTAAAGCTGTATGGTCCAAATATAAAAAAGTTTGTTCAAATGTTTTCAAAGTTGTAACGCACGCCACACAGCCACCTCCGGTAGCACTCTCCACTCAACTGCGTCAGTTTCCAAAGGTTTAGGGATTATGCGTTTTTCATACACTGTGACGTCATTCAACCGCCGACTCTTGTGATTGGCTGAAAGGTAAATACGTCACAACTTTCCTGTGTACGACTATGACAATGAAGTAATATCACTCTTGTCTGTGTTTTGAGGCCAATGTTCACAGCTGGAAATGAGAAAACTTTAAGTATCAGTTATTGCTTTAATATTGGTACTTTAATAATAATACAGGTGTATTAGAGCCATCTGGCGGGTCACTGATAATTAACGGGGCTCTAGAGCTTGGAAACAAATGCCTGACCACCTCACCATAGTAGGATCCCAAACCTATACCGGCATGAACACTGATGTTATAGTGACGTTACACACCTAGTGCACACATACATATACATACGTTCACATATATATATTTTTTTCCCTTAGGTTGGGTTTGGATAGATTGGGTTAGGTTAGGGTGGTTTCACGAGCAGCAATGACGGAGACGGTACATACTTTTCTCGGATCAAATACTTATCAACCTGTGTTGTATGCATGGTGGGGAAGAGATACTTCCGGTCGCAACCCTGCGCTGAGGGAGGCCAGTACAACCTTGGCGGTGCTCCAGGAACGTGAGGCTCATTCTAAGAAACTAATCTGCTCTTACCTGAATGCAAAATTAACTGGAGATTCTAAAATCAGTTGGCTGCCATTTGCCCTGTGGAACTCCTTCAAGTGAGTGACTTGTGTGTGGCTTCCTGCGTATATGGAATGCTCGTGTGTGCGTGTGTTTACATATGTGTATGTGTACCTCATGTATACGTGGGCTTGCGGTGCTAAGAAGTGTCAATATCCTAGAAACAGGAGGTAGTAATCAGCAGCTTAGAAAGGTTTCCTAAAATTTCCTTTCCTAAAAATGATGCCTACAAATTAGTGTCGAGTGTCACACTGTATTAGATAACCGACAGCTGAAAAGGCGGGGGCCAAGAGCAGACATTCGGTACTTTAGGCACAACTAGGTGAGCACCCTCAGACGTCCACACAGTGTGGAAGCGGTCACCAGCGATGCTCCGTTTTCTTCTTTTACACTGTTGGGATACAGTAATGAAATCCTACCAACTGTAAAGTGATATGGAGTGTATTAAACCCAGAGGAACACATACTATTTATACCGGAGTCTAAGTGACTACTAACTCGTTAGAAAACGAGGTCACCTGCCGTCCTTGGGGCTGACCTGACCCAGAGGCTGACCTTACTTAGGACAGAAAGGTATAGTTGCCAAACGCAAGTGGGAGTAATGTTTGCTACCTTTTTGGTAGGCTACAAACGCCTCTCACTTTCTCACCGACCCCTCCCTTTCTCCCTGCTGCCCACCTCTCACACTTTATCCCAGGAAACAAAGGCGACAATAAGATTCATAAACAACTTTGAAAAGCTCTGGAAAATAGGTACCAACAAACAAAATTTCCAAATAATACACATTTAAGTTCAAGTAAATTTATTTAGAAAACAAAATACATCCCCCAAAAATATAAAACAAGTTTAGGCTGTTTCACCATCCCCGTCTCTTTACAAGTCCTTCAAAGAACTCGCAACTCTATACAGTGCATTTATACATTTCATATCATAATTATGCATTGCAATTACATTTACATTATTTCGTTAGTTATCACATAATGCAAAATAAATTAATATAATTTACTATCAAATTCTAGATGCAAAATGTTTGAACCTAAAAATTGTGTCACACCATTTTCACACATCATATGATTTGACGTAGGAAAAAACAAAACTACAAAATTTATAATGACAAAGGTATATTCATTTATTTATTTATTATACACCCCATACCCATCTTGTGGGCGGTGATGGAAAGGGTTACAGAGGCACATAATGGGTTCCGGAACTGAACGCCATAGTTAATTTAGTTAAACAATTGACAATCTTGTGAAGCTAGTTACACAATTGTTAATATTACATACATACATACACTATAAATATATAACACCCCGTGAACCAATCCCCACCTCCTCCCCGGTGATACCTCCCTCCTCCCCCCGTGTCGATTCACCGCCGACTTCCTGTCCTCGTCGAGGCTACTAGAGTGATAGTGGTCCTCAGGTAAAAGGGTGAAGCTGAACAAATTAAAACGCCCTTATAAGTGAGGGAAAGATGCTGGCGGTGATCGCGTAAGGACACTAGGAGCCCGGGAACAGCAGCGGGAACGCCGTCAGCAGCATCACTAATACTGAGGACACCGGCTGGGTGGCCACGCTGGCGCCGTTGCAGCCACTTTCCTTGCAGCAGACGACGCAGTCATATATCGGGGCGGAGTAGTCGCAGAGAAGCCCTAGGGACGCCTCCTCCTCCGGCAGGAGGTGGCAGGGTGAGAGCGCGCAGCCCTTCTCCACCCATCGCCTCCCATCAGCTGCAACAATAAATGTTGGCCAAGTAACGACTCTCACGTTATGGGTGAAGCAAGAGCATTGGCAGTTATTAGCAAATGATCACAGGTACTTAGTTGCAGGTATCAAGCAATAATAAAAGGCTGTCTAAGTAGAAATGTGAAAGATTACGTACATATCAGGTGTGGGAGGGACATCCAGCAAAGGAACAAACATGCTAGACATGGGAAGAACATGCCAAGACTAGGAGGGACTTAGGAATTGTAGATGTTTATCTCTCAGAATGTTTGGTAATATGTTTATTGTTTGTGATGTGTGTATACGTATGTATTAACACGATGTACTGAACGGGGTGAGAATAACTTGAGCTACCTCATCCCTTTGTGTGTATTTTACCTCTATAAACTTATTTCAATTTCAATTTCAAGGAGGGACTTCCCAGCTGTGGGAGGGGCATGCCAGATATGGGAGATACATGCCAAGACTGGGAGGGACATGCCAGGTGTGGGAGGGGTTTGTCAGATGTGCAAAAATATGGCAAGCGAGAGTTTCAGGTGAACGAGATAATTCCAGGTATTTAAAACGAGAAACACAGATGCGACAAACACCAGAGACAGTAATAAACAGGTGTAAAGACACACAACAGACGAATACACGAGAGGGAACAATGTAAGGGATTCTGAATTCAATAATACTCAGGATATAAATTCATTAGCTAACCTCTTCCTCTCCAAAACTCTAAGCCTCTACAACCTTCATTGTCCCCTTCTTACCAAACAAGTAACTGACAAAAGATTAAACAATCCATGGCTCACAAGTGGCATTCTCAACTCAATAAACAAGACACATGAATATGAAAAGAAACTTAGGATTGGCCTAGTTTCAACGGAAGTAGCTAAAAGGTACTCATCAATGCTTACCAGTATCATAAGAAAGGCAAAACTTTCATATTATGTGAATAGATTCAATGAAGCAAAAGGCAACCTGAAAAGCACATGGAAAACCATCTCTAGTATCCTAGGAACTAAACAACTCACATAACCAAATAAAACTCTATAAGGATGGGTATACACCATCAACTGATTTAGAAATGGCAAATGAATTTAATAGCTTCTTTTCATCGGTTGGTGTTAATCTTGCCAGTAAAATGCCACAGACTCAGACACATATTAACACATATCTCTCAGGCAGCTATCTAAACTCTCTTCTCCTTTCACCAGTCAGCCCGGCAGATATTGTGTCCATCATACACTCTCTAAAAACCAAGGCAGGGAACACCAGTGAAATTCCGTCCATTGTATACAAGAGCGCCTCCCATGCCCTGGCGTCACCCATAGCTCTACTGTTCAACAAATCTATAGAGTGTCACACCTTCCCTGATATCCTTAAAAAAACAAGAGTAACGCCAGTCCATAAAGGAGGCAATCCGGCGGACATAAACAATTATAGACCAATATAAAATCTACCCATTCTATCAAAAATATTTGAAAAAATTATCTACAAACAGCTCTATTCCTACCTTGTAAAATTTGACATACTCAGCCCCTGCCAGTTTGGCTTCCGGTCCCAAAAGAGCACCAATAATGCAATCATTAGTCTCCTTGACGTAATCTACTCAGCCCTTGACAAAAATGAGTTTTCGATTGGACTCTTCATTGACCTAAGAAAAGCCTTTGATACTGTTAATCACAACTACCTCTTACTTAAACTCCAGCATTATGGAATCCGAGGCCTTGCCCTGGACTACATCCGATCCTATCCTAGTGACAGACACCAATGTGTAACCATCAATGATACAACCTCTTCCACTCTACCAATAACCGTTGGAGTGCCACAGGGCAGCATCTTAGGACCTCTTCTATTTCTTATATATATCAATAATCTGCCTAATGTCTCTAATATTCTTATATCTATATTGTTTGCTGATGATACTACCTTCATCTATTCAGACCCCAACCCACATACATTAAATAATGTTGTGAATAATAAATTAAAAAAATCCACTTATGGATGTCAACTAACAAACTAACACTAAACATAGAAAAGACCTACTACATCTTATTTGGAAGCAAATCATCGAATGCAATTCAGCTACAGATAGACAACATTAACATCAGTAATAAAAATGATTGAAAGTTTCTTGGCCTATTCCTAGACAAGAAACTCAATTTCAGCACCCACATTCAACACATAACTAAGAAAGTCTCTAAAACAGTTGGTATACTCTCCAAAATAAGATATTATGTTCCTAACTCTGCTCTCCTCTCACTATATTATGCACTTATCTATCCCTATCTTAATTATGGTATCTGTGCATGGGGGTCTACCACTGCAAACCACCTTAAGCCCATCATCACCCAGCAAAAATCTGCTATCAGAATAATATCAAACTCTGCTTTCAGACAACACTCAGCTCCCTTGTTTAAATCCCTTAACTTGCTAAATATTAACTCCCTCCACACATTCTCTTATGTCAACTACATTTACAAAACCCTGTTCTTAAATGCAAACCATGCCCTGAAACTCTCCCTGGACAGATGTAATAGGACCCATTATCACCACACCAGAAATAAATATCTCTTTGATATCCCCAGGGTCAAACTTAATCTGTGTAAAGACTCTATGCAAATTAAGGGACCTAGTCTATGGAACTCGCTCCCTAGTGAATTGAAAAGCTGTCAAACTTTTGCCTCGCTTAAAAACAAAAACAAAAAGTACCTAATTTCATCTTCGTAGTTTCCTACACTGAGCTTTAAATTTGCTCTGTATCTAGTGTTACCCAATCTTTATGTACTTAATCCAAACAACTTTATCATTGTGTTCATTGCTGTCTTCTTTTATGTGCTAGCCACATGCTGTATTGTCCCCACTAATTTTTATTAAACTACCATTCAAGCTGTCATTGCAATCAATCTGAGCTACCTATGTGCTTTAATATACCTACAATTTTCTCTCATTTTTTATTTTTTTCTTGCTATGTAACTTATCATTTTTATAAATTTTGCAAGTATTTACCTACTTAAAATTTTCTTAGAATAAGGACCTGCCCGAAACGCTGCGCGTACTAGTGGCTTTACAAGAATGTAATTACAATGCTATGTATCCTCACAATCCCAATGCACCTTCTTGTATATATATAAATAAATAAATAAGATAAATAAATAAGAGCGACAGGTGTGTAGGCAGCCTGGGGACCCACCTGCTCTCCTTTCCCGTGTCTCGCACCTGTCATACACCTGCTTGTTGGGGCAGGGGAGGAGGTACTCGTCGGTGCAGGCGATGTCATCGCTCACGTTGCACTGGTAGCACGACAGCTCGTTCTTCACGCACTCTGATGAAGAAAGTGGGGGGGGGGAATCATCAGCTAATTTTGAGGATACAAGTCATTTCGTACATAAGACTATTCACCTTCGGATTTTTTTGGTTGCATTAAAACCTACCTAACTTAACCTAACAGGGAGTTAGAAAGAACTTTTTCAGTCTAAGAGTCGTATATAAGTGAAAAAGACTAGATGACGCTGTCGAAGACAATTCGATACATTGTTTTAATCTTTAAAAATAAGAAAAACGAGTGAAAAGTCACTTCACTGAACTACTGATCGTTAAAAGGTGGGACTTATGAGCAAATGCTCGACCTTGCAAGCTCAGGTAGGTCAAAACACACACACACACACACACACACACACACACACACACACACACACACACACACACACACACACACACACACACACACACACACATGTTACGTACCCTTATAAGATACGTAAGTGAATATATTAATATGTACATTTATAATTGTATGTAAATTACAAGCATGTATATTGTTATACTTATATGTTCTATGCAAATGCACATTCATGTTACAGTGTTGGCGTTAGGCCCAGCGTATCGTGGGAATGATTGTTTATTTCTTTGTGTGATCAGTTTTCCCACGGGAACTAATGATTTATATGTGATCATCAGTGGGTAACAGAGTGAAATAATAATTGAGTGAACTGTATCTGGCAAATTGTCGTGGGATCGTCCGTTGCTGGGGTGTGCATGCCATTATGCTATTCTGTATGCATATTTTAATTACTATGTAAAGAAACACGTACTTTTGTTGTCTATATCAATATGTACTAATTATTCATTAAGTTAGTTTAAGATTACTCTTGTCACAATGTAGTGCTCCATTGTTGAAATAATAAATATTGTAACTTTGGCAATTTATTCGCGGGGCAAGGCAATGTGTTTTTTGACTCGCATATTGTAGTTCAGTAGCTGAGCAGAAACCAGGGAGATAACACTTGTTGAAGTTAAGTTCAGTTGTTCTGTCATAGCCATAATTATTCTTAGTATTGATTTAATGTCTGGAAGTTACAGTGATATTTTTAATGTGATATATATATTGTGACCATATAATCATCTGTTTGCCTTTGAGATTTATTTAATATAAATTATATATATATGCTTAGTCTTTATTCTTCAGTCCTATGAAGATTCTATTTTATGCTCATTACCCATTAAGGGGTTATACTGGTGATTCGCTATTGAGAACAGCAGTTGTGTCGTATCCCTAGACTTATTAAAGTTTGGCTGCTGTAGGATCACGAGCCGTAACGTACGATAGGTAACAACACACACACACACACACACAAGACTCTCCTCCCATGGAGTCTCGCCGACCAGAGACCCAGAGCTCAACCCCCCCGCAAGCACAACTAGGCGAGTACAAAGTCAATTTCCTGACGCGGACCTCACTCTTCCTGCAGCGACCGCGAACACGACGAGCAAGAAATGTTGGAGTAAAATGAGGAGATTGGTAACACAGCGACGCGTGACGGTCTGATATTGCATCATCAAAACACAAACGAGTGTTTGTATTTTGGTACAACGCAGTGCCAGCAACATAATTATAGCAACACAAATACATAACCGTCCCTGCAACACTGAACATCAGAAGCAATACAGGAGCACTAGTGACAAAACAACGGCAACAAAACATAATACACAAGTACTGAACAACGCAATACTTTGTTACAAAAACACAACCAGGTGACATATCAAGACGAGCGAAGCAACACAATAATAAACGTTCACGGGTTCATAAGAGGGTCCTGTATAAGGACTCCTGGGGTCCCGTATAAGGACTCTTGGGGTCCCGTATAAGGACTCTTGGGGTCCCGTGGAAGAACTCCTTGGGGTCCCGTGGAAGAACTCCTTGGGGTCCCGTATAAGAACTCCTGGGGTCCCGTGGAAGAACTCCTTGGGGTCCCGTATAAGAACTCCTGGGGTCCCGTGGAAGAACTCCTTGGGGTCCCGTATAAGGACTCCTGGGGTCCCGTGGAAGAACTCCTTGGGGTCCCGTATAAGGACTCCTGGGGTCCCGTGGAAGAACTCCTTGGGGTCCCGTGGAAGAACTCCTTGGGGTCCCGTATAAGGACTCTTGGGGTCCCGTGGAAGAACTCCTTGGGGTCCCGTATAAGAACTCCTGGGGTCCCGTGGAAGAACTCCTTGGGGTCCCGTATAAGGACTCCTGGGGTCCCGTATAAGGACTCCATGGGGTCCCGTATAAGAACTCCTGGGGTCCCGTGGAAGAACACCTTGGGTTCCCGTATAAGAACTCCTGGAGAAATCTTATCATCTACAAGCAGGTGTGATAAGAATAATGTAGGATTTGTGACAAATGGATGAATGTATTTGTCGCAGCATTGGCGAGTCAGGTGTGCTAGCATGATCTATTTTGTTGTAGGGCTCTACACGCGAGCACGTGGTTGTATGGGGCCCATTGGGGGAAGAACGTGGTTGAAAAATGGGGGAATCATACATAAAAGGTTGGGAACTAAAAGCCTACACCGGGAGGTGTAGGCTTTAGGTGTATTAGTTACTGGTTCACAATCATTGGTCAACTCTGGTAGCAGTAATTACCATAAAATATATGAACACATTTATAAACAAACTTCAATGAATTTTTGTTTCAAATTCTTTTGAAATAGTGAAAAACAGAACAACACAACCTCTTTAACCTGGCGGCGGGCGTGGCGGTCAAATTGAGCCTCCCAGCTGCCAGATTCTCATGCACTTTAATTCGTACCTCGCTCCACCACCCCTCCCCGCTCTCTGTATTGTTTCCCCCTTCCTACTCTCCCCCTCCTTGCACTCTCCGCCCAAATACCTTGCGAGCCACTACATTATCAGCACATCTTCAGATGGCTCTAACGTATACATGTAGCCACTAGTGCAGAAAGTCACTAAACCAACAGATATTTAAACAATTGAAACAATAAAGACCTTATAATGGAGGTCCCAACCCTACTAACACTATAGCAGCAACCACAAATAGAGAATGGTGGTGGTGATGAGCTGATGGAGACCTCGAAATGAGTCTTACACCAATGACATTCACACGGACATTTGAATCTGATTCACAGATTAATTTATCTGGTACTCATCTAGATGTATTCACATCCTAGATGTACATGTAAGGTTGAGCGTCAACTCCTAGCCCCGCCTTCCGAATATTTTGTAGTTTAATATCAATGTTTTATCTCATTTTTTTTTATCCCGGGGCCAAGTACTCAAGGGAGGACCTCACTAATGCTGTCTATAATACATGGAATTTTTCTTTGTCCAAGTTTTTGAAAGCTGAATGTTGGCCAGTTGGGTATTAAAATAGGTTTCTCATATATAAATATAATATTACAAATTAAAGTTCTATGTATAATTAGGCCTAAGTTAGGTTAGAGGTTTAGGTTCTGCTGGCGATTATTTTGATCAGTAGTACGTGGGTGAAGCATTTACGTAGTTGCGATTCGAAGAGAGGTAGTCAGTGAAGTATATTGAGTTCAACCTAAGTTCGAGAAATATTCGAACATAGTTGTGAGTCGTGCGTAAACCGTTTTCCATTCATAAACAAGGGCTCCTATATGGAATAGTTTTTGGCCTTTGTTGATGAGGACGGGCTGGAAAACGTGCAGTTTAAACAAGGTGATGCATTGAGGTTTTTTGATACGACCCTCTATCAGTGGCACTCCCACCCACCCCGCCTAACAGTGGTACTCCCACCCACTCCCCTAACAGTGGCACTCCGCACCTCAGCATCCAACAACACATCACGTGATCAACTTCCAGTGTCAAGTTGCAGTAGATGACCAGCTAAGAGAGAAAAATCTTAAATCACAAAAACTCAACTCACCTGAAAGTGTGAAAGACGCCACTATACACAAGAGCTTAAAGACCGAAATCATGGTGTATGTATTTTGCTCTTACACCTCTCTTCTAAGGTTCCAAAACTGTGCTTGGAAAACTCTCTTACATTAGAGTATTAATATCCCAAGAGGCCTGGCTCTTTTGAGAGTTCGTAAACACCAAAGTATCTGAGAATGTTTTTTTTAGCCAGTCCTCGAGGAACAGTTAAGACAATATTATAATTTCATAGCAAATGCTTCGTTTAAGTTTACAGTAGGTGCTAAATGGAACCAATGTTTCTGATTTTCAATGTGATTGTTGGGTCGAGGCGTGAATGGTGGGCAGCAACACACGCCTAGAACCCAGCAGCATGTGTGGCTGGCACAACACGCTCAATACAGTGAAGTGGGAAACAACACGCCCTCTACACAGTGGCGTGGGCAGCAGCAACACGCCCTCAGCACAACGGTGTGTGAACTGGGTACAGTGGGTAGCAACACATGCCCTCAGCACAGCGGTGTGTGAAGCGGGCAGCAACACATGCCCTCAGCACAGCGGTGTGAGAAGTGGGCAGCAACGCACGTCCTCAGCACTGGGCGAGATCAGTGTGTGTAGTAGTAGTGGGTGTTCTTGTAGTGTGAGGTGATGACCCATACACCGCGGCTGGCGGAAGCCTCTCCCTCACCCCGCACTTGCTGCAGATAGATGTGTACTGCTGGATACAGCCACTACCACGCCTGCGTTGGCCCTCTCCTCTCTTGCTCTCTTTCACTCTTCATTCGCCCGTTTACTACTCGTAATTTTCTTTGCTTTTTGTTCTCAAATATTCAGCGATGTATTTTTCCCTCGATTTCATTCAATATCTCTTGAGGGAATGATTAAGTCAACCTTTGGAAGGTTATTTACGCCATCTCAATTGCTTACTGACCAGCCATATGCAGTAAGTATAATTTAGTCCTGACTGTAGTTCAGGGTTACTGTAAACTCTGCATATATACAACGAGAAGCAGAGTAGACCTTGTGTAACTCGTCCATCAACTCTCCAAGTCTAAACTAAACTTATCATAATTTTTATTTAATATACAAATAGTTCATTACATAAGAACTATTACAACGTTTATTATGTACATACAACATCAAATACGTAATTTTGCTAGGCTTGTTATCCGTGAGCAGCACGGCGCGCTCCAGTCTAAAGTTCATTGAGAACTTTCGTTTATTGCGATGCAACAAGTCAGTAATCACGATGTGATTTGTTTTGCGAAAATGCGGAATTTTATGCCGACTGTATTTTTTATATTTTCTAATAGTTTCTTCACACTGAACATAACAAGTAAAAGATTACAAAATCTACATAAGGCCTCTTGACCCAAACAAGGCAGTTACTATGTTTACAACTAACCGCTTGTCCCTGAGCCCATTATGTGCCTCTGTAACCCTTTCCACTATAGCCCACAAGATGGGTATGGGGTGCATAATAAATGAACTAAACTAACTCGTGTCCTTATCCAATCTGTGCTCAACAGGGTCCAAAGAATTTGTGCCACTAACCTGCAATACTATTTATGGAGCCAGTTCTCTCGATTTACCCTCCGTAAAAAATGCTATGGTTTAGCTCGATAAAAGCATCAGAACCTAGACTACCCGTGAAAAGGATCAGCTGCCCACGGGATGGATAAACTGTTCGGATGAGGGATCACACATAAAGAAGGGTCATCATATCAAGTGATGTACACACATACACAAAGTTATAGAAGATTCAGAGGTATGCCACCAAACTAGTTCCAGAACTGAGAAGTATAATCCTTTCCTTCGAGGAAAGGCTAAGGGAGCTCAACCTCATGTCCCTGGAAGATAGAAGAGTAAGGGAAGACATGATAACCACCTACACAATTCTCAGGAGAATTGACAGGGTGGACAAACTATTTAGTTAAACTAGACAAACTATTTAGCACGTATGGAACACGAACAAGGGGACACAGGTGGAAACTTAGTATCCAAATGAGCCTCAGAGACATTAGAAAGAATTTTGTCAGTGTCAGAATAGTTAACAAATGGAATGCATTAAGCAGTGCTGTGGTGGAGGCAGATTCCATGCACAATTTCAAGTGTAGATATGACAGAGCTCAGTAGGCTCAGGAACCTGCACACCAGTTGATTGACAGTTGAGAGGCGGGACCAAAGAGCCAAAGCTCAACCTCCGCAAGCACTACTAGGTGAGTACACACACCGGCCTCGCGGCTGAATGGGCAGCGCTCAAGTCGTAGTCCTAAGGGCCCGGATTCGATTCCCGGCAGAGACGTAAACAAATGGGGAATTTTTTACCCTGGTGCCCGTGTTCACCTAGCAGTAAATCGGTACTTGGGAGTTAGACAGCTGCTACGGGCTGCTTCCTGGGATGTGTGTGTGTGTGTTTAGAGAGAAATGTGTATGTTGTAGATATAATAGAGGAAAAACAGACTGGTTAGAAAGGCGGGGACCAAGAGCTAATAGCTCGATCCTGCAGACACAAATAGCAAATAAGGGGAGAGAGAGAGAGACAGAGAGAGAGAGAGAGAGAGAGGGGGGGGGAGATTCAGTAGGCTTCAAGATCAATAGCTTCCGCAGAAGCCCATCACAAATTCTAGGCCACTCGTGTTATTACCCCAAGTTAAACCTTAAAGACAACATTGGTTTATATTAGCCAAAAATAATACTACAGTAAGAATTATGTAATAACCCCGACACAAGAAATGTATTTTGTCAAAATTAAGTTTTTTTGTATACTCTACTTTAGTACACATTGTCGTTGCTCGGGCCCCTCGACCAATTTTGCTGGCAGTTTTGTTCAGAGGGGATTGGCTTTCTGTTGTCGTGAACTGCAAGCCTGTACTATGGCTTATCGAGGTCCCCCTCGGCCAAAGGTTCATAATTCGGAGTATCCATATCTCTTGTGGGCATGGACATCAAATAATAGGGATATGTGACCCTGATCTCTGAATAATTAAAAAAAATGGTTACCCGGCAGATTAGAATTGTCACCGTTTTATATAAACAAATATGATAACATCCTTATGATTTTCTCTAAAACATAGAATGGTATAATTTTAAATTCTAGTAGCAAGTGGTTACTAGAATTTAACTAAAGCATGTGCAAAATATTCAAGCCGAGTGATGGGGAACAGGAAGCCAGACAAGGTACCATATGGAAGAGAAAATCCTAATGGATCGGATATAGGAAAATGCGAGATAAATTCTGGAATGTGCGGCACCAGCATTAAGTTCTTATTTTGTTAAACACAAAACCATTTGGATCCAGTTCAGAGGTACGCCACCAAACTGGTCCCAGAGACGAGAGGTATAAGTTACACCGAAAGACTAAACGAGTCTTTGTCTATTCCTCACTTCATCGGAATAGAGAAAAAAACATTTGATTGTCAAATAATTAATTTTCAGGAGGAAGAGACAGGACTTACAAGGGCTGAGTATTTAGACCAGGCGTTTTTTGTTTAATTTATATATTCAAGAGTTCTTACATTCTTGTACAGCCACTAGCACGCATAGTTATCTTGAGGTTATCTTGAGATGATTTCGGGGCTTTTAGTGTCCCCGCGGCTAAGTCTCCACCAGGCCTCCACCCCCAGGAAGCAGCCCGTGACAGCTGACTAACACCCAGGTACCTATTTTACTGCTAGGTAACAGGAGCATAGGGTGAAAGAAACTCTGCCCATTGTTTCTCGCCGGCGCCTGGTATCGAACCGAGGACCACAGAATCACAAGTCCAGCGTGCTGTCCGCTCGACCGACCGGCTCCCAATAGCGTTTTGGGCAGGTCCTTAATCCTAATATTCCCCAGAATACGACCCCGCCAAATCGTTTAACCAGGTACCCATTTTACTGTTGGGTAAACAGAGGCTACAGTTAAGGATTGGCGACCAATAAATCCTCCCCCGGCTAGGATACGAACCCAGGTCAAAGCACTCGCGTAACGCCAGGAGAGTGTTTTACCACTACGCCACGGGGACTGCAGTGTACCCATTTCAGTCATTTTTGCATATGAAAATAATGTACCCAAACGAGCCACAGACGTTAGAAAGTATTGTTTGTGGACGCAAAAGAATGGAATGCACTAAGAAGTGAAGTGGTGGAGGTAAACTCCATACAGTTTCAAATAACGATAACAGATTAAAATGGGCTCTGAACTTACACAACAGTTTAAAAGGGTGGAGAGGAGGAACCTAAGAGTTGTATTTCATTCCTTGTAGGTACAACTAAGGCGAATATAACCGCGTAAGCATTGCTAGGTGAGTGCACCACCTTAGGAAGTCTCCCCAGCGCGCCTGAGGGCGTCGTGGTGGCGGTGGTGGTGACGGTGCTGGAGTCCCCATTGACGATAGTACCGGCCGAGCTGCCGTCGCAGCAACATATCCTCGCCTGATACACTCCAAGACACGAAATCTTCAACGACCTCACTAACAATTCCAGGTATTGAGAACACTCACTTTCTGGGCTTAAATTCAGATTTAGTTTAGTTAGAAGGAGAAAGGTTCACCAGCTGGCAGGCAGCCAACACTAGCCTGTCCTCCTACCACATGTAGTGCAATGAACCTCACCTTTCTCGCCATTGACTAGGGAGACCTTGCTAAGCTTAGCAGCCTTCCGGTCCCTGATAATGATAATCCTATAACATGTATAATATAATAAATATGCAAATATATATTTATTATTAGCAAATTAAAATATTTAAGGACTGACTGTTGCCACTAGAGGCGGCTAATTTATTGTGCACTCCATACTCATCTTGTGAGCGGTAAAGCAAAAGGATTACAGAAGGCACATAAGGTCTTAATCAGACCTCAGAGGACATTTTTGCATTAACAATTACATCTAACCAGTTGCACACCTTATAATTATAATGACAGAGAGCAACAAACATTTTGCACTGCAACATTTATACGCCCCGGCTGCCTGTCTGGATCATCAGTGGAACATATTCATCTAAATAAGAGGAAATGTAGATGTTTATCTCTCAGAATGTTTGGTAATATGTTTATTGTTTGTGATGTGTGTGTATATGTATGTATTAACACGATGTACTGAACAGGGTGAGAATAGCTTGAGCTACCTCATCCCTTGGTGTGTATTTTACCTCAATAAACTTATTTCAATTTCAATTTCAATCTAAATAACCTATCAGGACAAAACAATTATTGTATATCCATTAATTGTGAGCCCCAGCAGCGTCTCTATGTACAATTGACACGATAAACAATGCAGCAGGTTTTCTTCCTATTAGGAGGTGTTGCACATGCTGCTGTGGGAGTATATAAACTCGCCCATCGGGCCAATATTTAAAATTAAAAACAATTGCATCACAGGGACAATGAATAGGAGCTGGCGCCTGGGAGGATGTGTGTGGGTAGCCGTGGCGGTCATGGCAGCAGCCACGCCTCCAATTCCCATTTCTTCATCAAAAACACCGCCGCCGTTGCAAGCATCACCAGCAACAGAAGGGCCGCCGCCGCCACCAGCAACAGAAGGGCCGCCGCCGCCACCAGCAACAGAAGGGCCGCCACATATCATCATCATGGTGGCGGACGACCTCGGTGAGTTGGATACACGAAGTTCGTATTATCAAAGTACATTTACGGGATTTTATCATTCTCTCGTTTTTGTCCTTATTAAACCTTAAGCTGCATACCTAATTTATGGATCCATTCAAGAGTACACAATTTTAATTATGATAAACAATTAATTCTTATGAATTTATAGATATATTAGTGGGTTCTAGAAAAATAAGTAAACACCTTTAGGTGCTAGAGTTTAGCCTGGGGGTGATACCAGAAGAATTTATCCATAGTGCCAAGGAAAAAATATATAGAATAAAATATCTTGTTCTTATAAAGTTATTATACAAAAATTTAAATTACAGGAAAGTTCTTAAAATAATTCTAGTTAGCATAATTTTAGCACTGAAAATGAAGTGTGATTTATAACCCCCTCCCCCCCTTCTGCCCCAATAGGATATAATATAAATAAAAAAAAAATTCTAACTTGTTAGAAAAATCTGTGTTATCCTATTGCAACATTAACTCAGCCGGGTAGATGTTTAGCAATACGGTAACACAGCTCGTGACACACGTCTGACCTGCTGGCCGCCTAACTTGGCGAAGGCTATGACCTTTCTGATATAATGTGACCTACCTAGTGTGACTTGTTGCCTGGTGTGACCATGTGACCGCAGGGGGGTAGAAATAGCCTAAGCTACTCTATCCCTTTGAGATGTATTTCTGTCTTGTCTCAATAAACATACTTGAACCATGTGACCTGGTGTGACCCTGTGTCCTGGTATGACCTGACATGTGACCCTGTGTCCTGGTATGACCTGATATGTGACCTAGTATGACCTGGCGTGCTCTCCGGCAGGGTATAACGACGTGTCATGGCACAACAGTCAGGTGTTGACGCCACACCTGGAGGCCCTGGCACGCGGCGGCATCATCCTGGAGCAGTCATATGTGCAGCCCATCTGCACCCCCACCCGCTCCGCCCTCCTCTCCTCCCGCTACCCCTTCACCATCGGTAGACAGGTGGGTCCTCTCCTCCCGCTACCCCTTCACCATCGGTAGACAGGTGGGTCCTCTCCTCCCGCTACCCCTTCACCGTCGGTAGACAGGTGGGTCCTCTCCTCCCGCTACCCCTTCACCGTCGGTAGACAGGTGGGTCCTCTCCTCCCGCTACCCCTTCACCATCGGTAGACAGGTGGGTCCTCTCCTCCCGCTACCCCTTCACCATCGGTAGACAGGTGGGTCCTCTCCTCCCGCTACCCCTTCACCGTCGGTAGACAGGTGGGTCCTCTCCTCCCGCTACCCCTTCACCGTCGGTAGACAGGTGGGTCCTCTCCTCTCGCTACCCCTTCACCATCAGAGTAGAGCGTGTGTGTGTATGTGTATGTGTATGTGTTTGTGTGTGTGTGTGTGTGTGTGTGTGTGTGTGTGTGTGTGTGTGTGTGTGTGTGTGTGTGTGTGTGCTCGGGAGGGGAGGGGAGGAGGGGGTAAAGAATTTTCAACCGTATATAGAAACAAATACAAATGGACTGATTATATAAAACTGCTAAGCTCGCCTCCTCCCCGCCCACAGCACAGTGTTCTCCGACCTTCTGAGCCCGTGGGTCTGGACCTTAAGCTGAAGCTCCTCCCGCAGGCGCTGAAGGACTCTGGCTACCACACTCACGCCGTCGGCAAGTGAGTTTTTCCAGAGTGGGGTTTTCTTACTTAAGGGTATAATCTACTTAAACACAAAAGTAATGAACAACATTCTGAGAGTATTACCAGTGTCCGAGATTACTTTAAATTTAGATCACTGAAATGTACAATTCAGCCGGGCAGGAATGACAACTGCTCACGACAGCTATCAACAAGGTAAAATGCCTAGAGCTCAAGATCTTGATCTTGCCAGATATAGGTCGTGTCTGATCTCGACCTGGTGGTGCTTGGAAGTCAAAGAGATTTCGGTTCGTAGAATTTATTCGATGGGGCTAGTACAGGCGGAGGATCCTTCTATGGGACAGACACGGTAAGTTTCCAGATATGAGGGAGAAAATATTTACTTTGTTTAACCGTCAGACAGCATTTCTGGTCGCTGTACCTTACCATTTTTTAAAAGGTGGCACACCTGATCACTCTTCCCACCTTTCCCCGGCAGGTGGCACCTCGGGTTTTGCTCTTGGGACTATACCCCCACCATGAGGGGCTTCGACACCTTCTTCGGCTACTACAACGGTGCGGAGGATTACTTCACCCACCGGCGTTCTGGGCTCTTCGACACTAGGATGGATTCGTATTACGACCTCGATACGGGCGCCTGTCGCGGCCACAACGACACCAACGGAGAAGATAAAAAGAAACAAGGTGATGAGTCTGAGGGGACAGGAGAAGGGAAGGTAAAATATTGTAGGAGATGAAAGAGTAAGGAAGGCCGAAGAGAGGAAAATTAATTTGAAAGGGAAAGAATTAAAAGGGGAAATTGAAGAAAAAAACGGAGGTAAAGTGAGCAAGTGGTAGATTGTAGGGAGAGTTTTACATGAAAAACTGACAAAGAAAAATGAAACATGAGAGACAGTACAAGGAACCACTTGAGAAAACGCAAAGTGGTTCAAGTGAATGACGATAGAACAACTATCGTCACTGGTAAAATCTAAGCAGATTAAGCCATGATAGTATAGCAGAAGGCTCCCTCTACAACTCATCCTTCCTGCTTTTGCTGTTGGTTGACAGGTGCAACAAGGATGCACCTGTCAGCCAGCCAGCCAATTACCTCTAAAGAATCGTGCTGTACTGAAAAACGTGCGTGGTAATCTTAGCAGGAGAGGTTGGCTGCTTAACCTAATGCCGGTAGTGCTCAGCAAAACGTTTGTGTCAGTTGCTAATACCTCACCATCAGGCACTCATCAATGACAAAGGAATAACTGGGTACCGGTCAGTAGTAACTGGGTACCGGCTAGTAATAATTGGATCTAGATCGGTAGCAATTAGATATAGATAGCAAGTAATTGGTACAGGTCAGTAGTAATGGGACACCAGTCAGCAGTAATTGGGCACTGTAGCAGCAATAATTAGGTACCGGTGACTGGTAGACATTAAATCTAGACATTTTGACATATAGATCAAAATAGAGAAGACTAACGCACATCCTTCCCGCAGATGGTAAACACCACGACTGGCTGGACCTGAGGTACAACACCACCCCAGACACCAGCAAGGAAGGAGTCTACTCTACGGTAATTATAACATTTTGGATCTTATAAACAGTTAATTAGTAGAATTCACAAAGAAAAAATAATGTACCAAAAATTCCACAGTTTTAGGAAATATTTGAATTATATATTTTGATAAATTATTTTTCTGAAGTAAAATTTAACGAAGTAAAATTTTCTTTAATTGTTTCACTCTGTCATAGGTAATTCTCGCGTTTTACCTGAATTTACCCTTCCCATTCCGTCCTTTAATAAGACAGTCAAAATTTTGCACGTATGATACTCCAGAGTTAGGCTTACTGAAAATTATTGAAAATTTCAAGACAAGTTATTAACCTAATATAGTTTATTTACTATATTAAAATAGGGTCAGCCTAGGATAAGCTTGGTTCCTGTCTTCTATTTTGTTTCTTTGCTTTCATTTTTCTCTTTCAATATTTTTTAGTGGGGCAAATGGTAGACTTGTACGTTCAAAACTCCCTTTTTGGGGTATATATCCCACTGTCCCGTCGTGCTGTCTCATTGGAGGACGGATTGTTTGGTCTCACTGTCTATACTTTGTGTCGAAGGACGTCAAACAACAGATCATTTAAGTGACACTAAGCTGTTCTTTTTATTTTCATGGCGGCAAAACAATTTATTTTTTCTGTGCTTCTGTCTATTTTCCACCAACTTGTTTTCTCTATCTGATATTTTATACATTCCTCCCGTCATATCTCCCACACTTAATTTATCACTCTCCCACCCCTCATGCCCTCTCACTTTTTATTTTATTAATACTTTAGGTACATCTGCATTTGTGCAGCTACCCTAGGCTATATGAAGGGGGAGTACAGTGTCAAAAAGCTAGCTACGTGATGCTAAAAAAATCCCCATCACACAGGATGGTTAATCATACAGAGGCATGTGATAAGTAGTCTGCACTGACAGACTCTGGGTTCGTTATGAGGCTATCATGCCTTCCTGTCATTACTAGACAACTCTGGGCATCCCTCCCACTCCTTACAGCTACAACTACCACCCATCTATCATCAAGAAGTACAACCTCCCACCTACCTCCCTACCATCACCAACCACCCCTCCCACCAACTTCCCTACCACCACCACCAACTACCACCACCCACCTAGCTGTTTACATCCCTGCCACAGCACATGTTCGCATCACACGTGGAGGACCTGCTGAGGACGAGGAGCGCTGAGGACCCCATGTTTCTGTACCTGGCCTTCCAGAGCGTCCACGCTCCTCTACAGGTGCCAGACAACTACACACGCCCCTACGCCCACATCCACGACCACGATCGTCGCACCTTCCTCGGTAAATGACACGTAGTTGCATCATTCATCCTCCTTCCTTCCTCCCAGACAGACTATATATTTTTTAGTTTATTCTCAACCACAGACGTGGCCATATATTTGTAGTGCTAACATGTACTCATTTTCTTGTCCTCCAAAGACAGGGTTAGAAATCTGTTCATATATAGTGTAGGGAGTTATTGAGCAAATACAGGTGATTGTAATGTTAATATAATGCAAACCAGCATTCATACATTTGTGGATAAAGGAGTACGTATGCAACAGAAGGCAGAGCATCACAGTGAGCAGACCTCAGAGCTTCAAGATGTTACCAATGGCGTCCCAATCAAGCAGTACCCGAGCCACTATTTTTCCTAATCTATATGAAGAACTTCCTGACAATGTTCCCCGAGGTTAAACAAATTACGAGGATAAATTCGTTTAGAAAATTGCAAGCTAAAAAATAGTGGGGTTCACAAATAAAGATAGATTAGCAAAGGAAATGAGACGATGGAGAACCGAGGAAATATCCAAAAATAAAGTATTGGAAATAACTCTCCTAAATAATACCCAATGTAATTTTTACAGGGAAATATCGTATATCAAAGTAAAAAAGAATTCAAAGGAGGAGTAGCAGCACTGCTAATAAAAATAGAGGTGAAGTGTTATAAGAAAAACATTCAGGTATGCAAATGGAACTACACGAAATGAATACTAGAAGTCTCGGCCAAGATTATGAGGATGCAGCTAGATATAGCCCACAGAATAAAAGGTTGAACATTCTTAGAACAATTTAATAGTATACAAGTGATGCTCGAGGAAGTAGTAAGATATGGAGACATAAGCTAGAGGAAATAGTAGATAGAAACTTCCTACCGCAAAAATGTCAGAGGCCGCGAAGAGAAGATGTATACCAGCAAGTTGACCTTGTATTCATGCAGGGCAGAAGCGACAGTACGAGGATAGAATACAAGAGCATAAGGGCAAGCAACCACTGTGTCCTAGTCTCTGATTACCTGGTAATGATGAAGTCACCATAGGAAGGGAGCTTAAAGCTAGCATAAAGGAGATTGGATAATTAAATTACTTACGTCTTACGGCAGTTTAACTGGGAGAGGTAACTTGAGAATAAAAACATAAATAATGGACTTTTCTCAACTATAAATTCTAAAAGCCTGAGGGACGATACATACAAAAGGGAAAAGACCAAACAAATTACACCATGGTCCAGTAAAGAGTGCTTCAAGGTATAAATGGCCAGCAAGTAGGCATGCATGTTTTCGAAATTGACCTGAAACTGCCACATAGCATAAGGGGGGCCTGTGTAACTAGCCAATACTAGAAATATAAAAATCTATTGAGTTTACTGTGTGTGGCAGGTATGGTGAGTGCCATGGACGAGGCAGTAGGGCGGGTGGTGGCGGCACTGAGGGCCACGGGGCACTACCACAACTCCATCATCGTCTTCACCACCGATGTCAGTGTTAAGTAATTGTTCATACCTCATTTGCATTTTAAATTTATGAATACTTTAAAATCTCTCTTTAAATTAACATTGAAATTAAATAAAGCAGACACGAGTTTAACCCAAGGTTCTGTATTGCAGAACGGTGGCCCGACCATCCACGGTGCCAACAACTGGCCACTGCGGGGCCATAAGGCCACACTGTGGGAGGGTGGCACCCGAGGCGCGGCCTTTCTGCACTCCCCACTTCTGCCCAACCCTGGCACCGTCTCTCACCAGTCAGTAACTCCTCCACTTGTTACCCCCCTGACAATTACCAGTAGTTGCACCTGTACTTCCCTGACGGTCATTCGTCAGTATTTGTTTCCAATAATTCTCCTGAAGTTGTTTATGTTAAACTGGTATAAATAACTCCCACAACTAAGTTATGATAACCCGTCATCACGATCCCCAGTTAAGTGTCCACGCCAGTCTCAAAACCTAATACTATAATTTCTTCACTACGTTTAAACCAGATATTAGCGTCACTGGCCACTTTTTAAACTTGTTTCTAAACCTTAATAATATTTATTACTGCTTCATGAGTGCCTAAAGTAACTAAAAGGCACCAAGTTGTGAAAATCAAAGAATCCCGTAAAATAAGATTGATAAATGCAACCCTACATTAATACTACTTTTGACCACTACCTGATTTGCTTTGTAATTTGTTTTTATTCACCGTGACCTGGGGTAACCTTGTGCCTGGTCAGATTAGTACACGTCACGGACTGGTACAGGACACTAGTGGGCGTGGCTGGGGGTGTGTCACCACCTGACTTGGATGGCGTCGACCAATGGGCGTCGCTCGCTGGCACCGCCCCTCCGCCCAGGACACACATGGTCTACAACATCGACAACACTACGCATTTTTTGGCCGGAGTTCGGTAAGCTAAAGAAAACAAAGACTGTTTTAAGCTTTTCATATTACCACTGACGGGCAAAATTTATCTACTATAACCCAACATTTCCATACTGTGCAGGAAGGGCAAGTTCAAGCTTCTGGTGGGGTACCCTGGCAATGGAGATTGGACTCCGCCCCCCGAGCTCGAAGTCTACTCCACCGGTGTTCCTCAAGACACGTCTGTCAATAGCCTCTTCCCAGCCTCGCCTTCATCCCTTCCTCGCACTTCTTCAATCCAGCCTGCCACTCAAGTTGAACTAACTGGGAATCTTCTTGGCTCGAGGCTTCCTCAGTTTCCAGTCACATCCGATGCGTTAGACCTTAATGGTGTCCGCTTGGAGAATGGTAGGGGGGCATTCAGTTCTTTGGATGCTTTCACCCAAATGGGGTTGAAATCTCTACCTCAAAAGCATCAAACTCTAGATTTCCAGAGGAAGAAAAGTTCCCGCAAAATCACACAGTTTAAGAAGAAGAATTGGATTTCCACGAAGAGGAAGTATGCAGGTCCTCTCATGGTTAAAATGAGCTTTCCCGAGTTTCACTCAGGTGACAAAACAGTCATTGACCCTAACGAGCTAAGGAACTTTACTACACAACGTAAAGACACTCTCCCAGTGAACAAAACAGCCAAGATCTCAGAAGCCGACACAACCAGCATTTCAGATGTTGATCCATTATCCACAGAAATCGTCACTGCGAATACAAATGCCGCCAATGTCACCCCAACCAGTTCATCAGACACTAACAGAAATGCCTCAGTAGTCAAAATAGACAATTCGTCAAGCTTCGAAACTGGCATCAAATTAGCTCGCTATCCATTAGCACCTTTATCTCACGAGGACGAAAATAAATATTCCCAGAGGACGCAGTGTCAAGAGGACACTGCAATAACGAAGGCGTCAGATCTGGGAACGAATATTCAGCAGCTGCTGGAGCGGATCACTAACAAGAACGACTCCCAGATCAGACTCTACAATGTGGAAGGTATGTGTTGGGCTCCTCTGAATAGCTCGTCTTAATAATTGTCAGAATAATTGAACCTTTGACAAGCCGTTGGCTTCCTGACCTCGTAGAGGACAAGTGACGATTCCGCTCAGGTAAAATTTATGTCAACTTGTATTTATATTATTAATATTTAAGAAAGCAACTTTGTCAACTTTTCCTGAAGGTATGACCGATGTATAAATATTAATATCCGGAGGAGGAGGAGAAACGAGTTTGATTATCTACCATTCTCTAAAATGTATTTCTGTCTCACTCTTCCATACGTATTCATTGTAAGATAAACAAACAAGTTATTGTTGTACTTTAGTCGCCCTTCCATCATATAATTTAATACCAATTCAGCTTTAACTCAAAGTATACAATATACACGCGGCCAGTCTCTGACCTGGTAGTGATTTTAAAATAAAGCAGTTACGGCCATTAAAATAGGAATTGCATGATGCTATTTACTAGTAAGATATCCAACTGATGCAACACCTCCAACTTTCTGTACACTGCTAGTATTGTAAATTTGTATAGAATAAATGTTTAATGTGCAGTACAATTTGAAAAGGTTTGTTAAATGTAGAGTACGACAATATACGGTACAGTAGCCGACTATAGCCGTATTTTACTGCCAGTGTAAGGAAAGTCATTTCTTGCATTTAGAGAATATTATTTACATGAACAAAATCATTGCGATATACTATTTATTTTAATATACTGTAATGTGTGTTGTATAATCTGCTATATGAAAACTACAAAACATTTGGAGATAAATAGCCATAAAGGGATAATGTTTCTTAAATCCGGATTTCTTGCGATCCCGGATCAGGTCAGGATCGGGTGTTAAAATCAGATTTTTACTGGGTCTTTCTGAATTTAGTGACTGGACGACAGATTACATCGGTATTAAATGTCTATATAAACTGAGCCTTCCTTTCTCATCCAGTGGACCCGGAGGAGCGAGTCAACTTAGCCTCAAAGCTGGTGGGGGTGGTGGAGGAGCTGCTTCAGTACCTCCTGGAGGAACTGCCGCGGTACGTGGAGGCAGACATCAAGCCCCTTGTGCCGGAGGCCAACCCTGACAACTTCAATGGCGTCTGGTCTCCTGGGTGGTGTTAATGGCCCAAAGAGTGTTGTTGAACAGATAATGACGTTAATGGCCCCAAAATGGTGATATTGATCTCCATGATGGTGTTGTTGGACAGTGGATGAATTAGTTAGCATCCCCTGTAGGATGGCGTTAGCTAGAAGAACTATCTACATCATGAAGCCTGGGGCATGCTGTTATTTACTATTCTACGTATTCTGAAGTGTTTTTTGTATCTACATATTGTATACAGGTCAATAAATATGAGTGTAAATGCACCCTCTGAGTTACTTATATTTGTTTTTAGGTAAACAAAAAGCAAATCTTTTAGTGATTTAGCTACAACTACCACAACCTGTCCCTACCTCCCCTCCTCCTCACCATCAAATATACCACAAACTAAAATGTGTAGAACATGGTATATGTTACACTTTATTATTGGAAATTCTTTAATCTCCTCCATAGAAGATTAAGCCACTGAAAATTATCTAAAACTTTAACGCTGTTTGCAATATTTGAAGCTTAAAAAAATGCCTAAAACTCCAACACTAGGCTGTTTAAAGCAGTGGCCGCCCTCCCCAGCCGCATTCATCAATTTTAACATACTATATTAAAAATTTAATTGTTTCATATATAAATTAATATTATACATAAAAATTCTATGTATAGTTAGACGTAAGTTAGGTTAGATGTTTAGGTTCTGTTGGCGATTTGAAGTATGTGGGTGAAGCATTTATAGAATTGTGCTTCGAACAGAGGGCGTGAGCGAAGCACTTGTTCCGGAAGTGTTCGGACGAAATCAGTTGTGAGCCGTGTGTAAACAGTTTTCATTCATAAACAGGGGGTTTGGCGGCTGGATTAACGAGCTTGGATCTTTGTATGCGAGGACGGGCTGCGGTATAACAGGGTCCCAGTGGTACAGTTGGGTTCGTTCTCGACACACAATCGAGAATTCCAATTTCGAATCCCGATCGGGACAGAAATGGTTGGGCCCATTTCCTTTCACCTAATGCGCCCGTTCACCTAGCAGTGAGTAGGTACTCAGGGGTTAGTCAGCTTGGTGTGGGGTTGCATTCTGGACGCGGTCAGTAATTCGGCCTTGGGATGACCTCGATAAAAGCCAAAACGTGTATGAATACACTCTGGCTCCCTGCACCCCGACACAATGAATTTTTATTATTATAACTAACCACCCGCAAGGTTATTAGTTTCCCACAGTCAGATACAGAAAGCCCTTTTAGACACATCACAATACCTCAAGAAGGAATATCAACCTTCCCCAGGATGCAACCCACAACATAAGAACAAAGGTAACTGCAGAAGGCCTATTGGCCCATACGAGGCAGCTCCTGTCTATAACCACCCAATCCCACTCATATACTTGTCCAACCCGCGCTTGAAACAATCGAGGGACCCCACCTCCACCATGTTACGCGGTAATTGGTTCCACAAATCAACAATCCTGTTACTGAACCAGTATTTACCCAAGTCTTTCCTAAATCTAAACTTATCCAATTTATACCCATTGTTTCGTGTTCTGTCTTGTGTAAACAGACAGATAGTTAACAACAGTTAACTATCTCCTTGTAAAGCCACTAGCACGCATAGCGTTTCGGGCAGAACATTACCAACTGCCCGCAATTGGTAATGATTGGTAATCTCAATAAAGAGATTGATCGAAAAGAATCTTTGCCCAAACTTCTCTATCCTGCAGCGAGAATTTAACTCCGGACTTTTCGGTTGACCCTATTGCGTTGACCACTGCGCCACAGGATACGCCAGAGGGGTAATATGCGCTATGCATGCTAGTGGCTTTACAAGAATGTAAGAACTCTTTATTTATATATACAAAAGTAATATCAATCTTCTTACAAAAATATTTCCTGACAAGAATGACCCAACCACTTGGGCTGGACGGTAGAGCGACGGTCTTGCATCATGCAGGTCGGCGTTCAATGCCCGACTGTCAAAGTGGTTGGGCACCATTCCTTCCCCGCGTCCCATTCCAAATCCTTATCCTGATCCCTTCCAAGTGCTATATAGTCGTAATGGCTGGGCGCTTTCCCCTGATAGTTCCATTCCATTCCTGACAAGAATATAAGTTTATAGCCTTATACGCAGCCTAAGATAACCAATATAATGGCGACACATACTGACTGACACAACTTGCTACATCTGACACAAGTAGGGAAACTATAAGCAACAATAGGGGCTCAACACGTCATGAATGATAAAATAATATTGGTTATGAATAACATACTAATATGGCCAATACATTTTATAGTAAAAACCAATAGCTGTAATGCTTTTCCCCTTAAACCTGAGGCAAAGAACAAGTCGAGTAGTTACTGGCAATAAACTCAAAACTCACTTCCTCCAACATCATATACATTTTTAAAAGCGTAAGATCACTTAACGAACTATTCGAAAATGTACCTTACCTTTCGTTGGTTCTGAAGATCAACGTCTCCGCCTCTCGCTAACTCATAGTAAGAAAGGGTTAAACTTCTAATAAAACTGAGGTGAGGTTTTCGCACGTCTGTTACGGGCTCTCCATAGCCCGTGCTACATGGACACCTCGTTCTGAGTAGCTAAATCTGAAACAACAACAAACTTCGCACGTCCATCCCGGCGTCGTGGAGAAGCTCAACTGCCAGTTTTCCCTCCGTGCAAGAATACACATTCTTCTAGACGCTACCAGAAGGATAATTGTGATTGTCCTGAATTTACGTTAATATGAGGATAAACCTCTTTAGCAAATAATGCTCTTTATCTATGTTCATTACTTAGTCCTTCTCGAGACTTTATAACCGAATCAAACGTAAATTTAAATTACAACAGACTTACTAGCCTGGCGGGACGTCGTCTTATTTTGGCGGGAATTTGTCCACACCGCTATCAGTAGTTTTTTTTTGTATTATTATTATTATTATTATTATTATTATTATTATTATTATTATTATTATTATTATATACAAGAGTTCTTACATTCTTGTAAAGCCGCTAGCACGCATAGCGTTTCGGGCAGGTCCTTAATCTTAATTTCCCCTGGAATACGGCCCGCCAAATCGTTTATCCACTCACTGTTGGGTGAACATAGGCTACAGTTTAGGACTGACGCCTTGTCAATCTTCCCCGGCCGATACGAACTTATGCCAAATCGTTTGCGAAGCGCGGAGCGAATGCTTTACCACTGCGCCACGAGTACCAATAAATTCTAACTCCCAAAATCGAGTAAGATGGGGTAGTTGTTCTCACGTCTGTCGGTGAAACCTTACTGCACAGCTCGATCCTTGAAATTACTCACAATGATTCGTATAGCTGGTTCATCTCCAATAAATAACAGAACAGTTTGTTATATGAAATACACCATAATATTTCAAAGATTATATAGAATACAGTAAATCTGAGTCACTCAATTCAGCAAGACAATGCATATTTAAGATGTTGCTCCTAGCATCGATGCTATCCGTAACATGGAGCACTATTTACAGTGCAGAACACTATTCACAGTGCAGGGCACCATTCACAGAGTGCAGGACACCATTCACAGAGTGCATGGCACCATGCAGTCACAGAGTGAAGGGCACCATTTACAGTGCAGAGGCACCATTCATGGTATGCCTCTTCCACATGGACACAGCAAACTGCAATCGTTATTCAAATAGACACAGCGAACGGACTGTCTATCTAGACTCAGTGACGAAGGGAACTCTCGAAGACAATAGTATTTCATACAAAAATACCAATATTAGGATGTTTACTATAAGTACATAGAAAACAAAAATCAGTGTTCTAAGGAAAGCATGTATTTAAACTTTATTGATAAAGGCAACAAACAATAATTCATAATGAACTCGAGTGTACCTAAAGCTTAGTTAGTAATCACTTGTGTGGCTTTAATAGCCCTCTAAAGGTTGATAGCCCTAAAACGCAACACGAAACTGTTTTCGTCTTGCAACACGAAACTAAGATAATGCATATTTCAGTGCATTTATATATATATATATATATATATATATATATATATATATATATATATATATTGTGACGATAATCTCCTTCAAGAGATTGAGCCTGCTCTTCCCTCCAAAATTACGTCTTCACAATTATATAAAAAGACTATGGAAGAAATGTCCAACAACGACAACAACACCAGCACCAGCAAGGCTTGCCAGGGTGAGCAGAAACGTATGCAACCAGCCACCTGTTCGAACTCCAACCACCAAACTACCCGTTGATCGCTACGGCTCCGCTGATTGGTCGCCGGTCTGGCTGCACCTGCACTCGCCCCCAATACTACCTGATGTCTGGGGTCGCCCCAACATCAGTCCTCAGAATGTTCCGTGCTTTCGTAGCCAGCACTCCTCCCAGCTAGACGTTAGCGTGTACTGAGAGAGGTGGTGGCTTTAAGCCAATATTCCAGCACCTCCCACTTAACTTTTGTGTTGCACTTCTTATTATTTTGCCTTAACGTAACTTTCATTGTGTCATTTAAGTATTCTTATTATTTTGATTCATTGATTTTATTATACATATTTGTTTGTCCATATTTTCATGTTTTGATTTATTTAACGTAATTAAAATTTCATTGTTAAAGTTTTACTTGTGTTTTGTGTGTCTTCTCCTTACCTTACCACAGACGAAGTTCCAGTTTTTTCTATTTTTTTTTATAACTATGTGACGAGGCCATACCCCTAGCCTTAAACAGCCGAACACCAACGCGTTACCGTCACAAGTTATATGGGGGCCTGTCCTAGGAGCCTCACTCAGGTACTGGTGCCAAGTGGTAATTTATGGTAAGCGTATTTAACTCTGTTAACGTAGCTTTACTATTTTTCATTCAATTTCATTTTTTATAAGGTGCGGTGTATTGTGCATTACGAGAGTAACATATAGTGAAGGTGAGACAACTTTGGATTACGTGGTGACTGTAGGCCTCAGTCATACTCTTAATTGGTCATCTCTCCCTCCATGTTATTACTCGTATTTACCATCTATGTCCCTTGAATATTTCTCATTCTGACAGATCATCATATTGGTACCCTGGTACTGTGGTCTGCCCCGGGTCAAGAGTACCCAATCTTCTGCAATCTGACTGTAGGAGGACAAAGAGGGCCATAGTTCCTCTAGCTCGAACTTTAGTTGCTGAATTGGGACCTCAGCAGCAGTTCTCGTCACCAGTTGACACCTCGCACCCCTACACGTCAGTCAGAGATGATGATACATACAACGGTAGGGAATTAGCTTATTTTTTCAGAGCACAAAAGTTCG